TATAATAAATCTCTTATTAACCAAGCTTTCTCGGGACTGTACTGGAAGAATATCGGCCCTCGGTCTTTTCTGTATGGACCTCGCTGCGCTCGGTCCGTACTGTCAAGACCTCGGGCCGATGTTCTCCCAGTACTGCCCTCGCGCTTGGTTGATAAGATATATATATACTCTTCTGTAAGTAAAGGCGATGCAATCTCACTCAACCCACTCCTCATTCTAGGTCGAGTACTTGGACATTTTGAAACAGCACGGAATCAGGTTTGTACATAGAGACAGCAATCATCGATTGTAATGGTTTTGCTTTATATCGCTCTGTTATTGGTCCAGAGAACTCGCGCTATCCTTTCAGCGCAGTTTGTTAGTTTGAACTCAAGTTCTTGTTGGTTCCTTGTGGTTTCATCGTTTGCTTATATTTTCTTATCTGATTAGTCTCGATTTTGTTTTTACGGCCTCTCATTGGAAAGTTTTCTATTCTACATTAAATAACACCGCCACCACGTGGTAGAATAGCGCACAGAACTTCCTTCCATGCTGACAAACGAGTATGAGATGAGACTTGTTTGCTGTTTGGCTGAATAATTGCAACCTTCAAACAAAATATTGCTGCGGTAGTCTTGACGCAAAGGGGGATGGAAGCGGTTTTTAAACCGGATTGCGTTTAACGCATACTACAAACAACGAACTTGAAAATCGTGGTTAATTTTCAAGCTTCCCTCGTCGTAACGTAGAATTTTTAAATGCCTCAGCAGAGAAACATTGGAAAAAAATCAGTAAAATAGTGGACGAACAAGAAAATATTGGAAAAAAATTGACGCACTGCTAATTTGCCCTATTTCTTGTGTTCCTTCCAGTCCAGAAGAAATTCTTGTAAACGACGTCCTTAAAACCCTTACAGGAGACGCGAGTCTGAAAATAGCGAAAGTAAGTGCAATAAAACCATAGGACACTTGCTAGTAGAACCAAAGAACACTTGCTAGTAGCACCACAGGGCTCTTGCTAGTGACTGTGGATAAATCCAGATTTTGATAATTGCATATAACGCTAATTTACGTTTAAAGCAGCAAATGGAACATGGATGGTAATCAAAAACCCTTTGAATTTGGTTGTTTCGGCTTTATAGAATGGTTACCGGAGTAAATTGTATTCCAAAAAAAAAAAAAAAGCAAACTAACAACAACAATAAAAATAACTTGAGGCGAAGAAAATTAATCAAAAAAGATGTACCCTTTGGCAGAGATCGGATGAACTAAAATTAATTTTTTCATCAAGCTGTCCCTCAAAAGCTTCGTTTTGATATCCGTTTCTGTTCAAGAAAGTTTTCTGTCGAAAAAAGATCCATTTTATGGTTAATATGGAAGGAGAAATGTGTCTGCTTAACATCGGATTAGCTGATTGAAAGTTTTAATGTGTTTCGTGAGCCTTCAGAGCTTTTTTTTCCCTTCGGAAACATCACCTTTGGAAGTTTTTTTTTTAATTATTTTTTTATCTATTCATTTAACTATTCATTTATTTCTTTAATGTCAGAATGTTGACCAGAAAGCTCAGGAATCAGCCACTGAATTACAGAATTCCTTTGAGGACTATGTTCTTTCCAGTGATCTTTGTTTGAAAGCTGCTAAGACAGGTAACATTTTATGATTGCCACTTGCGATCTTACTTAGATCTAACCAAGTCTTTGTTGCCAAAACTGCATTATGGAAGACAAAAAATGTCCAGTTACATCGTTTCACTACCAACTTTCAAAATGCTACTAAGATGGGCACGATAGCGTTTATACTCTAAGGTGTTGCGGATTTAGAGACTTAATTGATATCGCTAAAAATATCAGCTTTCCCTGGAGTTTCATTTCTTCATTTCGGAAAACCACTAATCCGTAACATTAGCATCTGTTTACGTTACGATTTCGGGCTTGAAGCTCTTTGATCAGAGGCTGTTGTAGCGCACGAGTGTGAAGCCGCAGGATAAATGGAAAAATGTTCTCGTAATCCGAAAAATCCCCTTAGCTAAACGGGCTAATAAAAATGTTACTGATCCGAGAACTTGTCGTTGTAGAAAGTCCTTTGCATACTCAAGACTTTGAATGGATCATATTTGATTTATCGTTTTCGAGATTCTCCTTAGATGCTAGTTTTCCCATGGTGCACGCATTTTTGAAGAATCTGACACATTTAGAATTCGCGCAAAGTTGATCTTCTTTGTGGTGTCGGGATTGTACACAGGCTGATTGTCACAACTGAACTTATTATACACCTAGATCGCCAGTGGATTCTCTGAAGCTCACTGGTACAACATCCCACCACGAAATTTGAACTTTCTGGTGTTTGATTCCTCACTGTATATTTGTGCATGACACGCACTTGACATCTCACTATTTTAACAACTCAGCTACTTTCATTTTTCATGCCTATTGACGGGGCGCGATGAAAGCAAAGAGCGAACAAGGAAGTAAGATTTGTGACGGGTTGTGTGACAAAGCGCCACCTATCTCGCTCTTCGCTATCCCCGCACCCCGTCCACTAAGTGGCGACTCGAACAGACAATCCTACGTCGAATTGATCCCCAAGCTTTCCTCACTTTTCAGCTTACCAGTCTTTTGTTAGAGCCTATGCTACATACCCCAGTAGTTTAAAGCACATCTTCCATGTGAGGAATCTACATCTGGGACATGTTGCGAAAAGTTTCAGCCTAAGAGAGGCGCCAAAGGAATTGTTCCAATGCAAGAAGCAACCCAAAGCACAAAAGCGGAAAAGGTTTGAGACTTTCACATTTGTTTGTTTCTATCCCAGCAAACCTCTCCCACTCCGTCCAAGGAAAAAAAAAGGGGGGAGGGAGGGTGTATGACATCTCAGATAACGGCTGCTAGAGATTCTGTTTTTATTTTTTAATCTCTAACTCGCAATTTGAAGCCAGTGAAGAAAGGTGTAAAGTAATCTGCTTCATTTGAACTCTAGCTAGTAATACTGCCTTCAGACTACCATTTATTTCCTTGAATGTCAGTCAACCATCCTCAGAAAAAGAACAGTTTTCTCTTTTCACAATACCTGTTTGCTGGACAATCTATTGTTTTGTAAAATGAGTTTTACACAGAATAAGAGAGAGGGTAAAGTTTGCACTCGGTATAAAAGTAGAGAAACTAGTTTGTTTTCCTTTTTTCTTTCCTTGAACTCCTCTTAGTTATTTACTAGCAATCAACAGGCGCAGACACGTGATCAATGTCCAAGGTAGACAAATGAATCACACAGATGGGTTTCCTCGGTATATATTTAATAACTTGCGAGGAAAGAAAACTCAGATCTAAGGGAGAGTGGGACGTGAAAGGGTTGGTATTACAAATGAGAGCTACAGGAAGAAGAATTTTCAATCTACTCCAAATGCTACCCGTCTCATTTCATTACCTTTGTTCAAAAGTCAGCTGTCTCCAGCACTGAACTATTCTGAAACTTTCCCCTGTAGGGGTGGGGAGAAGAAACCGGTGAAAGCGAAGAAAAGGATCACGGAGTATTCATCAGATACGGAACTTAATGGGCCTTTCCCAAAGAAACGAAAGAAACCAAAGAACAAATCATAGTGAACTGTAATTTATTACGTTTTGCTATCTCTTTGTTTACGGCAATTAAAATGTACTAACGAAAGGAATCGGATGTGGATATGAATATAACAATATTGTCAATAGAAATAAAATTTAATAAAACATGGTATACTTTTTAATGGCTTCTTCGTTATCGATATTAGCTGTTAATTTAACGCAAACCTTACGTTGTCCCGTCACGCAACGCTTACAGTTTCGAGAGAGGAAAGACTTCATGGCGTGACAATTACTAAACTATAATTTCAAGTGACAAACTACGTACGATTCTTGGTCGCTGGGCGCCCATACTAGTTCAACACCGAACACCAGAGCATGATATTTATCATAGTTAAAAAAAAAAAAACAACAACAACAACAACAGTAAAGATGACAGTAATTATTTTACACGTTTTCTCTTTACGCTTTACATTTAGTGGTTGAGGGAAACTCGAGAGATGTATCAGTAAAATAATAATAAAAAAATACTTATTTTAATCAATATGGCTTTTATCAAGAATTTTTTTTTTTCGGTACTTTAATAACTTAACTTGCTTGAAATATAAACTACTGAGACTTTTGAGCCGCTGAAGACGGTCAGTGGTAGATACAAAGTAGTTTTTTGCATTCTTGTTAGCTATCTTTTTTCTTCAGCGTTTAGTTTCAATGGCAAAAAATAACAAAGTGGTTTTCGACCAACTGTTTAAGACCAAATATGTCAGAAATAAGTTGCACTCGTTTTCTTGTGGCTGTTCTCTTCTCAAAAACATCCCGTACTATTCACGGCGAGGGGTTACGGACAGATTCACGTCCTCGGAAAATGCCCAACTGGGCTGTGTAAGTGCATGGTTGGAAGGCTTTTCCCGTCACGTCAACCCGTCCGGCCCTGCACAGGTCAGCTTTTGCGATTGTCTTCAAGGGGATCGCGTACATGAGGTCCGTACGGGTCATTTGATAAAACACCCCTACGACCTCAACCCTTAACAAAACAATAAAATAACTTCTGTTTTAAAACGCTTCTCTTTCTCGCCCAATGCCTTGCTCCTTGGTCCAGTCCGTTGCCTGGCCTCCCCTTGGGTAGGTGGAAACGTATAAGGTTCAATGTAGACAAATACATATAATAGCTACTTTGGGTTTAACGGCGTTTTTCTAATTCATAGACAGGTCAACAAAATTATAAAACGCATCGATATCATGTAATGCTGTCTCAGGAGTGGATGAGACGTATATACTGGACAATGAGCGGTCACATATTTGGTTGAGCGCATCCTCAGTATTTTGCACACAATCCTTTCCATTGAACTCTAAACCGATAACTGGACCTAGAAAAGAAATCACAAAAACCGTTATTGATCATCTTTTAGAAAATAAAGAGAGCAAGTTTCTGTTAATAAAAGTGCAATATTTCGTTCAGTGGAGTTCAAACACACTATAGGTACCTCTATTATCCATGCTGCCGAGCCTCGCCGGCGAAAGGTCTGCGAGAGGTCTGGGTACAGATCCCTCGCTGACCTTCTGCAGGCTTCGCAAGGGAGTCACTACATTCACGGGCGACGAGCCGGGAAAGAAAAATAGTCCGAAATTTAAGTAGTCAGCGGTGAAATAGCTTTAAGACATCGTGAAGAGACAAATCATTTGTAGTTGTAATAAATGTTTGTGTTATCAATACCCAAATTTTAGCAGAAAACTTCGCTACATAAAAAAGTGAAAAAAGTTTTTAAAGCGTTGACTCTACAAAATTTTTTACTGCTGTAATAATCAATGAAGGCATTGGGCAGGGCGTCGGTGGCTTCGGGAAAGGCACCAAAATGTATGATATTTGCTGCGTGATAAAAAAAAGATGTATCATGATTTCCGGTCGTCAAAAATTGTCAATCAAATTTGGCGCGAAATTGGTTTTTCAATCTTGTTCGTCAGTTCCGGAAAATTTTGCCATAGATGAAGGCCAAAAGCTAACGAAGCTTAGAGATTTAGAGATCGACTTTTTAATAGAAGAGCTCGATGGTATTTTAGTTAAACACGATTATTGCTTTGGATATTTCGAGGGAAACAGAGCAGAGATGGATGATTTATTAGTATCACTTCAGGAGTCGAAGTCCATGTGTTATGTACTTACAGAAAGCCGTTCAAAAGAGAAAAAGCACAAAAGACTTCCTCAAACAGGTAGGTAACTATTCTCTCAGTGTTTTGAAGTCCACAGATCCCGCTTTCCTATTTTAATTTTCCTTCTTCAGGGTTAATTTAGATAAGAATCACCTTCTACCTGAGTTATGCGAAATTCTCCGTAAGCAGTCTTATGCCAACAGTGAAAGACGACCGCTACGGCTTAACTCCCTGTTTTTATTTCATTTCAGTTTCTTTGTGTTTGTTTTTATTGTTGTTTTTGTTTTTTTTTTAATACTTTTTAATTTTTTTCAATAAAAACTAGTAAAGAGCACACATTAACAGATCTTGTCAATACGTATGCTGCACGATCCTCGTAGTAGAGCTATTTATGCAATAACGAAAATCAGACCTGAAAAAAATCAGGCCTGTACGGGATTCGAACCACTGACCTCTGCGATACTAGTGCAGCGCTCTACCAATTGA